TGTAGTAACAGATATTTGGTCTTTAGTACCACTTGTAATGAACACATAAAAACACTGAATTTCGGTCTCGAATGATGTTTATTTGAACCATAATCACTCTCACATTAGTTTATATGAGATTTAAAATGTTTTAAATTCAATTTAATCATAAAATGGTCATGAACTCGACGCACTAATGAGAAATCACTACTAATGCACTTCATTTCATTGAATGACACACTTCATCTCATAGAATCATCATACATGACTACTCCAAATTCTACCTATATGTTTTAACTTCCACTATTTTTCATCCAAATCACGCGTGAACGATCCACGTGTCATGGTACACATGTAGGATTAGAGAAATCACGATTCTTAAAATAGTACCTGTTTTAGCCAATATAGTACTGCATATTTTTCTACGTGGTACCAGTTATTGATCAATTACTACCAACTTTTAGTCAACGAAAATGGATCATTCAATTGTGGTCAACATTTGCAATAATTGGTACCAAACCTAGAGTAAGTTAGTACCATCTTTCGGTGTTGTAGTACCAGATATTTGGTCCTAGTACCACTTGTAATGAACACATAAAAACACTGAATTTCGGTTTTGAATTATGTTTATATAAACCATAATCACTCTTACATTAGTTTATATGAGATTTAAAATGTTTAAAATTGAGTTTAATAGTAAAATGGTCATGAATTCGACGCAATAAAGAGAAATCACTACTAATACCCTTCATTTCATTGAATGACACACTCTATCTCATATAATCATCATACATGACTACTCCAAATTCTACCTATATGTTTTAAATTCCACTATTTTTCATCCAAATCACGCGTGAACGATCCACGTGTCATGGTAGACATGTAAGATTAGAGAAATCACGATTCTTAAAATAGTACTTGTTTTAGCCAATATAGTACCGCATCTTCTCTTACGTGGTACCAGTTATTGATCAATTAGTACCAACTTTTAGTCAACGCAAATAGATTATTCAATTATGGTCAACATTTGCAATAATTGGTACCAAACCTAGAGTAAGTTAGTACCATCTTTCGGTGTTGTCGTACCAGATATTTGGTCTTTAGTATCACTTGTAATGAACACAAAAACACCGAATTTTGGTCTCAAATGATGTTTATTTGAACCATGATCACTCTCATATTAGTTTATATGAGATTTGAAATGTTTTAGATTGAGTATAATCGTAAAATAATAATGAACTCGACACACTTATGAGAAATCACTAATAATACACTTCATTGCATTGAATGCAAACTTTATCTCATAGAATCATCATACATGACTACTCCAAATTCTACCTATATGTTTTAGTTTTCACTATTTCTCAACCAAATCACGCGTGAACGATCCACGTGGCATGATGGACATGGTGGATTAACGAAATCTCGATTACTAAATGGTACCAGTTTTGACAGAAATGGTACCACTTCTTCTTCTGCGTAGTACCTGTTTTTAATCAATTGGTGCCTACTTTTGGTCATCGAAAATGAATTACTTCAATCTGGGTCAATATTTGCAAAAATTAGTATCAGACCTAGAGTAAGATAGTACCAGTTTTTGGTGTTTTAGTACCAGATATCTGGTCTTTAGTACCAACTCCGACGAACATAAAAAAACACAGAATTTTCGTCTCAAATGATGTTTATATGACCCATTATCACTCTCACATTAGTTTTTATGAGATTTAAAATATTTTTAATTAAGTTTAATCGTAAATTAGTCACGAACTCGACGTACTAAACACTACTAATACACTTCATCTCATTAAAAGACACACTTCATCTCATTGAATGATGATACATGACTACTCCAAATTCTACCTGTATGTTTTAACTTCCACTATTTTTCAACAAAATCACGCGTGAACAATCTACGTGGCAAGGATTAAAGAAATCACGATTACTAAAACAGTATCAATTTTGACAGAAATAGTACCACTTCTTTTTCTGCGTAGTACCTGTTATTAATCAATTAGTACCTACTTTTGGTCAACGAAAATTGATTACTTCGATTTTAGTGTCATATATTGGGTCTTTCAACTCCGACGAACATAATAAAACACTGAATTTGGTCTCAAATGATATTTATATGACCTGTTGATACCCAATTTGGCTCCTATTAATTAAATGATAAACGAAATAATAAAATACGGCTCGATAACCGAGGAGCTGATGATACGAGATAAATAACTATACAAACAGGTACTCAAGACCTATCATCTAAAAGCCAACCGGATTCCAAGATGTTGAGTCCGCCTGCTACCGAGCCAAATAGGATTTAAAGCCGCCTTCGATAGACGCCATAATAAAAAAAGAGACAGACGCCAATTGGAACCGTCAAGGGTCATAAGTGGGTTCCACGAAAACCATATTATATTAAATAATGGTGTACTATTTTTTATTGTCCAACTTGTAGAAGAAAGGGGCCATATAAATATAAATGGCCCTAACAAAAAAGGGGGCCTTCTTCCCCATTCCTCTTCTCTCCCCCAAGAACTAAAAAGAGAGAGAAAAACACTCTCCAAAAAAATAAAGAAATAAACACACATTTTACTGATTTACTTTTCATTTTATGTAACACAATTCGATTTATATTTGACGGTTGATCGTCCGATTTTTGACATCAACATGACCTATTATCACTCCTAGAGTTAGACAATGTCCATTAAATGGTAGTTTAGTACATGATATTACGTCTTCAGTACCAATTCTCACGAACATAAAAAAACACATTGAATTTCGGTCTTAAATGATATTTATATTACTCAAATCACTTATACATTAGTTTCTATGAGTATTTGAATGTGTTTAATTAAGTTTCCTTAACAAGTGGTCATAAACTCAATAGAGTTTTAGTTTCGAAATTTTATTTTTAGGTAATTTTCATTTTATGGAAACAAATTTGTCTTTTAATTTCAATATAAAAACCGCAATTAATTGTATGATTTATTGACACATGTACATGTTCGGTTTTAGGCTTTAGAATTACCATAAACTGTTTTATGTTTTTTTCTTCTCAAGCTATCATATACTACTCTTGCTCTTATTTAATTCATATAATAATTTTTATTATAAATATGTATTCTTTTTATTTTTAAATCTTTATAATTTTTATTTTAATTTTATTTTTTGTATGTTATATCCCAAAATAATAATATTTTAATGATCTTCCGTTTGACATCCATATTGCATATATAAAATAAAAAATAATTACATCTATCATTATAAATAAAATAATATTTATTAAAAAATAATTTCAAAAATATGAATACAACATAAATTATTCTATAACAAATGTAATTTCAAAAGCATCTCTACAATATTCACTTTCCAACTAACATGTAACCGAATCATGTTCTTCACAACCTCATCATCCAACAAACTAACTCTCTTTTTTTTCCTTTGGAGAAATATAGCAAGCACGACGAATTCGAAATTAACGTTCGGCCACCTCCTAGATATGAGAGTGTACACTTCGTCAAGCGTTAATCCAATGTGCATAGAGAACACAAACAATTCATTCTTTGCGTACAACTCCCAAGTAGATCACTTTGTGCCCCTTCCATGTATCTAACAATAATTAAGTAAATAAAAAAAATAAAACTTCACATTCCCAAAAAAATGTGGTACTAAACAATATTAATGTGGTACTATATACATACAAACAGAGGTAAATAATCAAGAATAGTGGTACAATGATCATTCCCACATTATTTTCTTGTTTTAGGATGAAAAACACATTACATAACCTAACAATAGCATCAATTTCGTAAACATGAACAACAAAATTTTTTTTTTATCAATTTAATTGATTTAGATTAAGATTTATGGTAAATATTAACAACAATCTTCAAAATTCAATCCTTAACAAATTATCCAAAAATATATGAATTAAAAATAATTTTTGGACTCCAATATTTTCATTTAATACATATAATACTTATTACTTCAAATTTGGCCAGAAAAACCACAAATGTTGCTGGAAAAGATAAAAATTTTCGCCGGATTTGACGTCGGAATCACTTGTTTGGCCGGATGTGTTGCGGTCGGATTTCTTCTCGCCTGATTTTGTGTCGCCAGAGACCATCCTGCAAAA